GTAGCCCACAGGCTAGCCACGTACAATAGGAATAAACTCACAGGGAGCAAGTACAGCAGGGATCTACCAGTCATCAGTAGAAGTTATCCTCGTCGACAAGTGTTACGGCCCACTATTCTCCTAGACACTTTCGGAGGTGGGCCCACCTGAGTTCATGAAGCTCAGGGTTGGTACCCTGCTGCACGAATTTACTGGACTCCAGAATGGAGTCAGGGTTGCCATCCACGTTGATAGTGGTTTCGTTCTGGATATTCAAGTCATCAGCAATTATGGCAAAATGTGTGCTAGTAGTCCAAAGCCTGGGTCACTTTAGTACTCTGGGGTATCTTCTTGTAAAGGATTCAGAACTGGTGAGTTCAGACACCTTTTTTAAGTGGGAGGGGGTGGGGTGGGGGAGAAAAGGAGGGGGAGGGGGAAGAAGCCATGGATGCTGTGTGCATAACACTTTTGTAACAATGGAAAAAATAACTTGTTTAAACCAAAAACTCTAAATTCTATGACACTGACATAACAAAAGAAGACGGCATTTACCACATTGAAAAAAGAATGTTTAATGGCCTTAATAATGTTTAAAAAAAAAAGCAGTAAGCAGTTGCTTAATAGCAAACTTACAAAGCCCATCATTGAAAAAAAAACTAAAACTTATGCTGCAAATGTATAGGACAATGCCCCTCATGTGAAGAAAATAAAGCAGGTAGTGTTAGGTGGATTCTTCCAAGCAAAGAGAACTGACAAGGCACCCAACCACTGACTCTGTCGAGAGGGTGAGAATTCTTGGTTTCACTTCCAGAGTGCCATAAAGACAGGTTTGCACCAGACACATCGGCCAACATTTTCCTCGCAAATAGGTAGCATCATCTACCCTGTTGTAAATAGTTTGAAAGACCAAGATCTTCTTCAAAGCTGTGCTAAAATGAGCACACAGAATGCAATGAAAGTTTAAACGCATTGATTTGGCAGCGTTGTCCTAAAACAACATTTGCTTAAATGTCAGCACTGGAAACAGACACTTCCCTTGCCACTCTGTCTTTCAACTGTGGTCCTATAATGCTTACAATTGTATTTTAGAAAATAGGACTGGAGTGGGGATTTACAAACAACTTGTACGCTGCAAGAATGCTGTAAGGAAAATATTACGATCTTAGAAATCAAAAGTCAAGTCTTTCGAAGTGAAAGAAACGAGGCGTCCAGAGCTAGAACACCAGCATGAAGCAACAGAAGGCAGAACACATATTGCTGGTGCATTTAACTGTTAAATTTATGTGACATTTTCTGTGGATATGATGTAGAATACAACAGACTAGGTAAGAACACATTCTTTTTATATTAATCATGTTTTATGTGACTTTAATGTTTAAAAGTCAGTTTTCCCACCATTCTATTTTGTTGTTGTTGTTGTATGTGTAGAATCCTAAAATGCAATTTGACTTGAATACTCCTTATACAATATTATAGCCTTTGGTCTATTAAAAGTCGATTTGAGGAAGTTTTAAAAAATTTAATTGAGTATTGTCTAATGATGATACATTTTTTTGGTGTTTTCTTCTTTCTTCTTCTTCTTCTTCCTCTTCTTCTTCTTCTTCTTCTTCTTCTTCTTCTTCTTCTTCTTCTTCTTCTTCTTCTTCTTCTTCTTCTTCTTCTTGCTCTTCTTCCTCTTCTTATTCTTCTTCTTTTTCTTCTTTTTTTTCTATAAAAACGCTTCATTAAAGGTAAATAATGTATGCTAAACTGGCTTTCATGTAATGTGCTATAATTCCCTATTTAAAAAATAAAATTGTGTTTCCAAAGGCACGAGTTTACAGATCTGGATGTTATTATTCAGTGTGACAATAATTTTATGTTTGACTTGCTTGCTCTCTATCTGTGTGAAATATCAAATATTTGATGTTGATAAATATTTCTCTTTCCTACAGTTATAACAGATTGTAATTGAACATTTCGTTAACGTTGATTGAGCATGCTTTTTTTTTTTTTTTTTTTAACCGTACTTTTGTATTTCCATTATTTGTGCTAAGGTAAATACATAGATATGTGTGTGTGTGTATGTGTATATATATATATATATATATATATATATATATATATATATATATATATATATATAAAACATATATATTTATATACGTATATATATATATATATATATGTATATATATATATATATATATATATATATATATATATATATATATATATATGTATATGTATATTTACACACATATATGTGGGTTGAAGAAGAGGAGGGGGGGGGGAACTGGAATCACTACATCTAGATATGACAGGACTAAGTTATCGTACACTTGTTCAACAAGCAGAAGACAGAAATATGGCGGGTTTTATGGTTGCCAGTGCTTTCATTGATACATCTCTACGACCATAACGGGTCAATATGTTATGGTATGTTGCCATCACTAGCCTTTGAGACTTACAATATTGACTCAGTTGACCTCAGTGCATTGACTCTTTCTCAACACCCGCAAATTTAGGATGAATCAAGTCAAAGTATGTGCTCGGTACTCTTCATAACTATGGAGGTCTGGTTCAGTTAAACAAAATTGACAAAGTTAAAACGCATGTGCTAATGATAGGGCAGAGGACACCCGTTGTCATAATGATATTGTACAAATTGAATGACATGACATCTGGACAAGAAGATCTTGGAAGGTCTACCATGTGAGTACACACGGCAAATAGCTGTATCTCTCTTCGGCCAAACGCAGCATGTCGGTGGTTCATCGCAGTAGATGTTTTTGGGAGGCATAGTGCGACTGCGTTCGACCTGTGCGCATTTCCGAGATAAGAAGCTGATGTTTCGCGTTACCTACTCACGAGCCGCCACTGTTTCCAGGCTTGACGATTTATTTTTTAGGCCTTTCGCAACAACAAACGATGCGCTGTGGTGTAGCGGCTAGACGGATTCGAAGGTCGTGGGTTCTAGCCCTGAATGAGTAGGACTTTTTCAGAAATGACGTTGGTTCCTAGGTCGAGCTAACCTTACATGGGTACTGGGTATAAATCTAGGAAGTAAGTCGTGATGTTAACCACATCACCCACCGAGTACTGATTGGTCCATTTATAGATGTCTAGCCATTTATGCTTACTACACACCAAGGGTGGAAAAGGGTTCATTGATTTCGCAAAAAATCCTCCTTAGCCGAATAGAACTGCAGACTGGTGTAGTCTTTACAGGTGCCCTGATTAAAACTTCCGTGGAGGTTGAATGGGGTATCTGGAATCTGCTTTGAAAGTCTGGCGTCTATGCTGAGATTCATTTCTCTCAAAATGGTGTAGTAATCTTTAGGATAATATAAACTCATCCCCCGATGGGGCCTCATGACTCTTTTCTAGCGTTAAATATGGTTAAAGGGATCTCATTTGAGCAAAAAGAAGACACCGTGAAGGATTAACTTACCTAATTTCCACATAATTCTTTCTGGGTTAATTTCAGCACCGGCCGACCGTGATAAGTGTTGCGTGCAGCACCAGCTTCAGACTTTCAAATCTCAGGGGAAGCCTTTTTTTTCAAGGTCTGAGATAATATACTTTTTTTTAAAAAGTGCTAATATTTCTTGTTTTCTTACATCTATCAACTCTCAATAGATGAAACGCCTAGCTCATATTAAAACCATTGCAGTCATTTAATTATTTGTTGGATTGTGCAGTTAAAATATTATTTCGTGTGAAATAGAAGATAGCATGCTCATTAACGTGCAGAATGTTTTTCCTCGCCTCTCAGACAGATATAATCCAACTTGAAAGGTAGCCCTTTAAATGGCCGCCTTTTACGACTGTTGGAGAGCGAGAGGGCAATTGGTCTATCCACCCCCCCCCCACCCCCCAAATCCAAACTGCAATGGGGATCAGGCATAATAATATCAAATTTCAAACGCCCGACAAAGGAGATTTTGTTTAAAATTGACCTGGGTTTCTAGACAGATTCAGCCTTGAATCAGGAAATATCCGGAGAGGTAAAGGCAGCTGTCGTGATGCTTACCAAACGGCCCCTGGAAAGGCTGTTTGAATTTATATATATATATATATATATATATATAGCTAGAATCATTGAACAACGGCGAGAAAAGGGGTGTTTACAGAGTTTACTGGATATCGATCCAGACTTTCCCAAGAAACAGAAAAAAAAAGGAATGCATTCTTGTTTGCAGTTAACACCCACAACATAAACATACCACACACCAGAGAGGAGTAACACGTATGTGATATTTATTAGACAGTCATTCACAGTTCCCACAAAAGTAAATATTTATTAGACAATCAATCGGTGCTGTCACACGTTTGAATATTTATTAGTCAGTCAAGAATAACTTTCACATGTGTGAATATTTATTGGACAATCAATCACAACACTGATTCTTTTAATAGTTATATACATGTCCACAAAAGCTGGTCTGATAAGGCTGTATTCACACATCTGTTGAAGTTTTGGTCGACTGGTACGTAGTACGGTTCTCTTTTAAACCGCTGGAGCACCCACATCATAGGTTTCATTCCACGTTACACAAAAAAAGCGGGTTAGCAAACTGTTGACGCGTTCTATACATAAGAACTTATTTTGTAATTGACGTTTTTTTGGACGTTGAACTTAATTGAGTTCTTTTAAGTCAAGTGTTTTGTTAATCGTTTCTCTATTCCTCACAATTCAATTAAAAAAAAAAAAAAACGATAATAATCGATGTCACATTGGTTTGGCCCTGTAAGAAGTCTTGGATCTATGCATACTGGTGTATATGATATAAAACGAGTTTTGTTTGATTGTCTGCCATTAGATGAGACCTAGGTGGTCACAGAGATGTAGAATGTTCAGGTAGAGTCCAGATAAGAAAAAACAGTCAATTTGTCGGAGAAAAACAGTCAATCTGTCGGGCCTGTCAAATTGGCTAAGGAGGTGGGGCGCATAGTTACGATGAGATGTAGGTCGTCTTTACAGTCAGGGTACACACGACGATGATCCCATATTATTATATGTTATCATAAAATAACCACTAGACATGAGTGGACCTGGTGTTATTTTGTTGTAGCTGGCAGAGCTCTCCTTCTAATCGCAGCGACCTTTGTGTGTCCGTTCGCGAAGTTCGTAGTGTTTCCAAACGCGAAGATCGGTGATGATACACATTTCCATCATTGTGATAATGTCCGTGTCGTGAATGCCCATTGGCAAAAGCATCCGCTTTATACCTAGCCTGTCTGATGCTCGAGGGGGGTTCCAGAGAACTGTTGTATATGGACCTGCAGGAGTATAGACTCCTTGTTTCTGGTTTGGCGCAACAAAGCATAGCTCGAATCCTGCTCCTGATTTTTTGGCTGAAGAAACAGTATACTAAAGGATTCATGCAACTATTTGAAGTACCAAGCCACTGCGCAAACGGAAATGCAACTTCATGAATAACGGACATTTCCTCTGCATTGATATGTTCGTCAAAAAGCACTTTCAGGCGTATAATATACAACGGCATCCAGGAGAACATGAACAAGAGAACCACAACTATCAACATCTTTAGGACACGTACTTTTGATCTTTCAATCACTCCTCTACTGGAAGTAATACCTGGAGCGTTTCTGTGCCACACACGGTAACAAATCATAGAATAACAGGCCACTATGAAAACTAATGGCATGGCGTAGCACATAAGAAATATGACACCAAGGAAAAATGCTTTTTCGTGCACTTTCTTTGGGAAGTCTTCGACGCACACATCGAACGTTTGGACTGTGCTGTTGTACTTTTCCAGCTTGTAGTATACAGCCCAGGGTGTCATCAGTAGAAGCGCCACAAACCAGATGAAGAACAAAATCACTCTAGCCATTCTCTTGGTATTCCGTTGTCTCATCACGTGACAAATAGCAATGTACCTGAAAATGTTTTAAAAAATACAATGTGACTTAAAGCACATTAAAACTATTTCATCTATAGCAACTAAGAATGCAAAATAAAATCCAGTTACTATGTTTTGAGCACTTGAACAACTATGAAACATGTTTAAGAAAGAAAGAAACCAGAGGACTAGGACTGAAGAAAATAGAACAATTAACTAGAGAACTACAATTCAAAGACTTGACTATGTAAAAAAAAAAAAACGTTCTGGTATCAGCTACTACAGACATTCATAGAAAAAAAAATACTGAGTGGTAAGCAAAAGCAAGAGGGAGCGTTGAGATGGAGCAGCAGCGTTGAAGAAATAAAGAACAATTCACACAACAAAAAGCTCCCTCCTCCTCAGCCACGTTAACACTTTAGAAAGGTATAATTAGACAGACAGACAGATAGACAGATAGATAGTTAGACGGACAGACATCTAGATAGTTAGACAGAGAGACATACACATAGACATATGGATAGTTCGACAGACAGACAGACAGACAGACAGACAGACAGACAGACAGACAGACAGACAGACAGACAGACAGACAGACAGACAGACAGACAGACAGACAGACAGACAGACAGACAGGCAGACAGACAGACAGACAGACAGACAGACAGACAGACAGACAGACAGACAGACAGACAGACAGACAGACAGACAGACAGACAGACAGACAGACAGACAGACAGATAGATAGATAGATAGATAGATAGATAGATAGATAGATAGATAGATAGATAGATAGATAGATAGATAGATAGATAGATAGATAGATAGATAGATAGATAGATAGATAGATAGATAGATAGATAGATAGATAGATAGATAGATAGATAGATAGATAGATAGATAGATAGATAGATAGATAGATAGATAGATAGATAGATAGATAGATAGATAGATAGATAGATAGATAGATAGATAGATAGATAGATAGATAGATAGATAGATAGATAGATAGATAGATAGATAGATAGATAGATAGATAGATAGATAGATAGATAGATAGAGAGATAGATAGATAGATAGAGAGATAGAGAGACAGATAGAGAGATAGATAGTGAGAGCGATAGAGATAGATAGATAGAGAGAGAGATAGAGAGACAGATAGATAGATAGATAGATAGATAGATAGATAGATAGATAGATAGATAGATAGATAGATAGATAGATAGATAGATAGATAGATAGATAGATAGATAGATAGATAGATAGATAGATAGATAGATAGATAGATAGATAGATAGATAGATAGATAGATAGATAGATAGATAGATAGATAGATAGATAGATAGATAGAGAGAGTGAGAGAAGAAGGGATAGAAGGAAGGTGGGACGGATAAATCACTCTGACGTATTGAGTTTATTTCGCTCCTCTATGACAGGAGCTTGTATGTTTAAGTTCCAGTCCTGTAGTCATATGTTCGAACACAACATGAAGCGGTGAAAGATGGGAGAATAAAAAATATCCTCACGCAGTCCCCTGATCTAGGCAACATCAAATACACTTTTTCTGGCACTTTTCCGTTTTTTTTCCGGCTGGTAGTGGAGTATGAGAATACATGGGGGTCACAACCCTTTGCAATTCACGTCAGGACCACGGCCCGATGTGCTCATTTAAACGAGGAAAAAAGAAGCTTGGACAGTATCGTAGAGACAATGTGTTGCCCATGCAGTATCATCCCTCTAATAGCAGGCATTGGCTACTCTTCAAGGAAATTAATAACCATTATGTTTGCAACAAAGCTAGCTACAGAAACTCTCGGATGAAAAGTGCATTGTGCCGTCCATCTGACAGAACGTCCCTTCTACACCAGCTGAAAGCCAAAGCTAATATTCTGGTCGCCCTACCATGACATTGATTTCATGGTGCATATTGTCATCATATGATGTATCGCCCCCCCCCCCCTTTTTCCCCTCTCCCCTCCCCCAACTACCCACTTACCACTCCCCCCTTTTCTCCTAACTTAACACACAATATACATTTTTTTTTTAGTATCTGTGCTCTCAAGCAAAACCTTATCTTTGAGGCCTTAAGGGTTTAAAGACAATTGTTTACTAATTATCTAAGATTCATATTAATACCCCTAAACTTGTTTTGTTTAACAAGCAATATTTTGACTTCTAGCCTTTGATGACTGATTTAATGCATGCATTCTTAGTTGAAAAATTCAGTTTTTTTTTGTTTGTTTTACATAAGGTTTCAGTTTGATTTATATAGACTAGCGGTATATTCTCAATGCCTACATTGTTTGTGATACTTGTAGCTTTTGCACACTAATGACTCAATGCTTTATAAAACGTGTAACACTGTCCTCTGTCTACTTCTTCTTAATTGCCTCTTTAAAAAGGCCAGTGGCCCGCTGTGGTCTACAGCTAGCCTGCAATATCTGCGCCTTTTGGCCCAACGATTCCTATGACAGCAAACCTTTTCTTCTTCTTCGTGTTCACCAGCTGTAAACTCTGGCGGAACGTTCTGGTTGTTCGTCCACTACCTCACAACATGGGGACCACCTCACAAGATGAGGATCACCTCACAAGATGGGACCCACCTCACAACCTGGGGACCACCTCACAACATGGGAACCACCTCACAACCTGGGAACCACCTCAAAACATAGGGACCACCTCACAACGTGGGGACCAACTTACAACCTGGGGACCACCTCACAACCTGGGCACCACTTTACAACCTTGGGACCACTTCACAACATGGGGACCACCTCACAACATGGGGACCACCTCACAACATGGGGACCACCTAACAACATGGGGAAAACCCTACAACCTGGGCACTACCTCACAACAGAGGTACTACTTTACAACCTAGGGGCCGCCTCACAACCTAGGGACCACCTCGAAACATTGAGACAACCTCACAACCTGGAGACCACCTCACAACTTAGGGTCACCTCACAACATAGGTACCACCTCACAACCTTGGGACCACCTCACAACATGGGAACCATCTCACAACCTGGGGACAACCTCACAACATGGGAACCACCTGACAACATGGGGACCACCTCACAACATGGGGACCATCCCACAACCTGGGGACCACATCACAACATAGGGACCACCTCACAACATGGGAACCACCTTACAACATAAGGACCATCTCACAAAGTGGGAACCACCCCACATAATGGGGACCACCCCACAACATGGGCACTACCTTACAACATGGGGACAATCTCACAACCTGGGGACCACCCCACAACATGGAGACCACCTTACAACATGGGGACAATCTCACAACCTGGGGACCAACCCACAACATGGAGACCACCTCACAACATGAGGACCACATTACAATATGGGGACCACCATACAACATGGGGACCATCTCACAACATGGGGACCACGCCACATCATGGGGACCACCCCACAACATGGGGACAATCTCACAACCTTGGGACCACCCCACAACATGGGGACCACCTTACAACATGGGGACAATCTCACAACATGGGGACCACCTCACAACATGGGCAGTAAAGTATTCATTCTGTCAGTTTTACTTCTGGTTTCCATCATTGTTTTACACTTTGCAAAAAAAAAATGTAACAATCTTGTCTCTTTTTTGGTGTGTATCTTAGCTACAGAGCTGATTTTTTTTCTTAACTGGATCTGTTAGAACAGTTTCTGCTGGCAGGGGGACCTGTTCTGCTCCCATAGGCTCTCTAGACGTAAAGTGATTTTGTTTTTCCATCTGTACTTTAGGTTGCAGCAGCAACCTCGAATGAATAACCTCCAGGATGCGAACTGAAGAGACGACAGCTCTTAACGTTACCCGACAGAATCTCGACCATTTTAACTAGATTAAATCGCGTTGACATCGCCAAAGGAGGACTCAAGCCAATCGACAAGGCACTTCGTGATAATTGATTGTAGCATCATGGTTTCAATTAACTACATTTTCCGCTATCGGGGGAAAACCCAGTATCACCCATTTTTTCCCCGTTAACACGAAAAGTATCATTTCATTTTTGGGTTTTGGACTGTTGGAACGAATGTAAAGTATTTACATTCATTTTCAAAGGAAAACATTCAATTTAGGGACACGGGTTATTTACGATGTTCGCTCAGTCGTGGAACTATTTAAATTAGTATCCTGATAACTGTAATGTTGTGAATTCCCGGGGCAAATCCCAGTAAGTTTCCGATTGGCGGACAAGGTCAGAAGACCAGTGAAACAAGAAGAAAACGAGATAGGCAGGTCTCGAGTATCCCGTGGTGTGTGAATGAGGGATACGACGAAAGCGTGAGACTGGAGCGATAGATGTGAACCCAGAGAGGGTAGGAAGGCAGATGAAGTTCGGACCTGGATGTGTGCGGTCGTGTGCGAGGAACAACTGATGAGAATGGAGAACGCATGACAACGTGTACTTGTTCGAAAGCAGAAATGAATGTTTCCTGATTGCCAGTTTCATCGTGTACGAATACCACGTACAATACGTTAGTATGATACAGATGTGTGATCCGAAAGATATGGGTGGAGAGAATCACCATGTGAGATGGTTGGCAAGGTCATCTAGAATCAGACACGCGTAGCGACCATGAGGACGAAAGGAGCGCAGAGTTAGTGAGATTGTTGTAAGAGCGAATAAAGGTCAATAACTGAACGTTCGTCGTCTGGTGTGTTCTGGCAACTGTGTGTGCGTCAATATAACAATGTGAAGAATTGAATCTCACACCTAGCAGAGCACATTGCAATATCCCACTGCATTTTTCTTTCGTAATGTTAGCTCATTCAATACCGTGTGACTCACCATGGGTTACCATTTCAGAGTTTGCATTCATTGTCCCCTTGTGTCTCATCCAGCTGCTACGATTTATCACTCTGTCACAGTTTTTACGCTGGCTTAGTATACTCATGAGGTGATTATTGAAACTCTTATATAGACATAGCTGTTATTTTTTAAAGTAACAATTTTTTCCTGATATAATGAGTGAAAGAATCCCTGTCTCGCCTTCAGATAG